AGGTAAATTAATTTAGATAGCGTTGTCATTTTCATTATATTGGCTTGGCCTACCCATGAGCAATTAATATCTTCCCAATCAATTACATCTTTATTGTATAAATAGTATTTTGTAATTCTGTTCATATAATTCCTGTATACATCTTCACTGTTAAATTCCCTAGTATTTTATATTTTAGTATATATTTATAGCATATATTTAGTATTTTAAACTGAATATAGTTTTTTTTTTTAAATGGAATTTCTCTTTCTGCCTCTTTCTGCTCCATTTTCTTGGTAATATACAGAAATTGATCTTTAAGAGAGAGCTTGTTAGAAGAAAATCTTTAAGATGACATTTTATTCTACCAAATCAGATGATTTTTTAAAGTCAGCAAACAGCTAGCACAACAGGACACTGTGTACCTTTCCAGCCAATCATCTTCCTATAATGATGTGATCTGCTGTATAATATAATATGCAAATTCTTGCCTGTTCCTATTTCATACTTAATCAAAAATATTCTCAAAATATGGGTATATTATTTTTATATAGATTTTGGAGAGATGGGAAAGTAAGCATATTTGTTGTTAGTTACTTTTCTGTGTCATGTTTGGGATATAGGTAGTAATAATATCCCTGACATTTTCCTAAGCATTTGAAGTATCCACCTTTTTTCAGCAGTTTTGGGAATTGATCCCTCAGAGCCCTGAAAGTTGTAGAATATCTCTTGTCAGTATATTCTAACAGTAGTCATCCAGTTCGTGGCTTAGAAAACTTCTGCATGACTATTGTTGAAACATAATTATCTTAACAAAAAACAGAAGCAAATTTCAGCTTGAACAGTGCTTTTTAAAAATCCAGCACTTTCTCAGTTCAGAAACTTAGGCTAGCTTTCTAGTTTTCATAGAGTCAGAATCATCTTCTTAATGATGACTTTAAAAATATTTACTATTAAAGAATATCTTTCATCTATTCATTTTACTTCTGGTCATTTTGCTGGTATCTTCTGTTTTCTTCTTTATTGAGTCTGGCTTTCTTTTTCCTTTTTCAATCTGAATCATAAAAAGCCTTCACAAGCCACAAGGGATCTGTTTCGTAGTATATGAAGATCAACTAAAAGGTCAAGATTCTCAAGAGAAACAGTGAAAAAAAATTAGGGAGTTAAGGTTGGCTAACAGTACCAGAAATGAATGCTGCAGTGCAATAACCATCAAAACAATTTAGTACCGGAAAAAAAATAAGACATGTTGATCAGTGAAACAGATTAGATACACAGTGTACAGAAACAAACATAATAACAGTGTTAAATAAACCCAAAGACCCCAGCTACTGCAATAAGGACTCATTATTTGACAAAAACAGCTGGGAAAACTGGAAAACAGTCTGACCGAAATTAGATTTAGAACATCGTACCCCCATATACCACAATGAATGCTAAATGCATAAGTGACCTAGATATAAAAAATCACATAATAATGAATTTAGAAGAGCAAAGAAAGAAACGCTTTCACCACCATAAGTAAGGGAAAAGTTCATGACCACAGTATAAAAAGAATCACAGAAGATAAAATGGACAATTTCAATTGCATAAAATTGAAAAGGTTTTTCACAAACAAAACTAATACAGTTAAAATTAGAAGGATACAAATAACTGGGGAAAATCTTTGCCGCAAGTTACTCTGAGAAAGGTCTCTTTTCTAAGATTTGTAAGGAGTTAATATACAATTTGTAAGGATTAATATACAATAAACAAGAGTCATTCCACAGTAGATAATCTGTCAAAAAATATGATTATGAAGGTTTCAGAGGAAGAAATCCAAGGTATCAATGACCTTATGAAAAATGCTCCATTACTAATAATTTGAAAAAAGCAAAGTAAAACAACTTAGGGTTCTAACTCCCATGCATCAGATTGGCAAAGATGACAAAAAAAGAAAAATTAAAATTATTGGAAGAGTGCAGGATAAGAGGCACACTGATTCAGTGTTGGTATTGCTGTGAATAGATTCAGCCGTTCTGGAAAGCAGTTTTGCACTGCACAGCAGAAGTCACTAAACTCCATACACTTCAACCTAATGATGACACTACTAGGCCTTTACCTCAAAGAAAGAGGGAAAGGACCTATATGCACAAAAAATTTTTATAACAGCTTTTTCCTGGTAGAAAAGAACTGTAAAATAAAGGGATGCTCATCAACTCAAGAACTGTTAAACTGTAAAATATGAATGAAATAGACTATTATTGTCCCCTTGGAATGATGAAAGAAAAACCAGGGAAGACTTATAAGAAGTAATATAAGTTAAAGTTAGCAGAACCAAGAAAACAATTTATGCAACAATGTTGTAAATACAAAAACTCTGAAAGTCTTAATAACTAATCAGTACAATGACCAACCATGATTCCAAAGGATTGATGACAAATCATGCTACTAGCTACTTTCTGATAGAAGAGAATTAGACACAAAGTGCATAATGAGACATATATTTTTGACGTGCCCACGGTGGAACTTTGTTTTGCTCAGACTATGTGTTATTTGTTACAGGGATTTTATTTTGCTTTAATTGTGGATCAAGGTGGGAGGGAAAGGGGAACTAATGATAGGGCTCCCTTTCTTCCAATAAAAAAGAAAAAAAAGAGGGTCTTTAAGTATTTTTTTAAATGCAGAGAAGATAATGGAAGGAAAGTCAGAAAGAAACACAAATTAGCCAGATAGCTTTGAAAGTTGTTACATGTTGAATTTCTTAAAAGGAACAGTCTCTGTGTGACAGAGATTCAATTTCATGGACAGTCATGGACGGTCCTCTTTTTTGTTCTACTTTGTATATAAAAATGCTCATTTTATTTGATGTTTAAATTCAAAATTAAAAAAAAATACAAAGCATTCAAGTCATTGCCAGATAAAGCCACAAGCTGTAGATTTATTTGCATCAATGAAGGAAAGATTAGCGTTAATACCTCAAGAAGGAATAATATTTTTCTAACTTCTATTTACTTCTGTTTATAATTTGTCTTGTACTTTTTCCATGTGAGTATTGAAGATTACCTGGGACCCTCGTACCATACTGCATCTTTACTCAAGCAGCTGCAGAATGCTTTCACTGAAACGAGTTACGTGGGTAGAGATAAATAAGTAACAGGGTTTATTTTGCCAAAAAATTTAATTTAATTAAACCTTTCAAACCCAGTTATACCTAAAACTATTAGTTTAGGTTCTACATTTCCTACTATAAATGTATTACTTTATTTTCTCAGTTCAGTTATACTCAGAGCTCCAAAGCATTAGTAACTATTATTTATTTCAGGTTATTGATTAAAGACAATAACATCCTTGATATTGAAGGCAAGAGACCCTCTTGTTGGCTTCCCATTAACTTGTTCACCATCTATCATTTTCTTCTCTGTATTTTTTAAAATAATATTTAAGGCTATTAATGCAGGGGTGGGGAAACTGTGTTCTTAATAAAAGGCCCTTAATAAAAGGATTTGTTCTGTAAAACTTGGACTCAGTCAAAAGGCCACACTCAAGGACCTAGAAGGCCACATATGCCCTCCAGGCTGCAGGTTCCCCACCCCTGCCTTAATATCATCAGTGTGTCATCTTTATCTGCTTCTGTGTAGTTCAGTACAAATAAGTTTCTCCACTGTAGACATTCCAGATATTACATTGACCTAGAAAATGTCATTTTGCAGTAACATATTTAATTCATCATAACTAAGACTCTATAATGTTATTTGCCCAAGATGGTAATTTCACATTTATCAATATTATGAGGTTGAGTATGAGACCTAGCAGCAGTAGCTCTTTTGAAAGACAGTCTATTTCCAGTCTATTGCTTACTTTGCATATGTAAACATTATTTCTGGGACGTTAAGTATGTGGTATAATGTGTTTTTGTTAACCAGTTAAGGATGTTAGGAAAGCTTTATATCCTTATTCAGAAATATCAACTTTATTTGAAAGGATGATTTCATTTAAATTCTAACATATGCAATAATCTAAGTGCTGGTAGAAAGGAAAAAATAAAATAAAATAAAGGTCCTGCCTTGAAGATGCTTATAATTTGTGGAGTAAATATGGGAAGAAATAAGACATGTACATAAAAAATAATATGTGTCAGAATAGGTGAACGTAAAAACAATTTAAGGTGTTCTGAGACAGAGAAGTTCCCTTATCTAATTAGTTCTAGAAGGTGCTTAAGGCTTATTTAAGCTTGATGTCAGAAAAAAATTGTAAGAGAGTTGTCCAGAAGTGGAGTTGGCTACGTTAGGAAGTGGTGAATTCCCTCTTATTGGAGGTATTCGAACAGAACCTTAATGACTATTTGATAGTCATGTTATATAAATAAACATTTATATTACACAAATAAATATTATATAAGTGTTCATCAAATAAGTTCTTAGATTTATATTTGGTATTGATTGAACTAGGTAACCACCAAGGTCTCTTCCAGCTCTAATTTTGTAGATAGAGGAAGGTTCTTGAAAGAGGTGGCATTTTAGTTGGGCTTCAGTTGTCTGACGGACGGATAGGATGTTCATGGGGATGGGAAGGAAAAGGCGTTCTATATTTAAGGAGAATCATTCACAAAGATATAAAAATAAGAAAGCAAAGAGCTGTTCCCCAAACTATGAGTACTTTGTTTTACAATGACAAACTGTGTAGACCTAGGGAAAGTATTCTGAGTTATAGATGAAGACAGATTATGGAGCACCTTGAATGCCAGCCTGAGGAATTTGATCTTTATGTGGTAGGCAGTAAAAAACTGTTGAAGTTTTGAGCAGTGAAATGTGGTCTTTTTTATTTCTACACTAGGAAGACTACTTTGGTCACTTAGAAATAAACTTCATACTTCTGTGACTGGTAAGTGCATATGTGTTGGCACACAGAGTCATGGAATATTAAGGCCCAGCACATTCAAGTGACAGTTTTGCAACCATTCCAAATGATAGACTAATTTGGGGGAGAAAAAAATCTTGTGCTGTTCAGCGTATTAATAGCCTCTGTACTTTCTTTTGTAGGCAGGAAGCTCTCCTCGCTGCCATCAGTGAAAAAGATGCCAACATAGCTCTTCTAGAGCTTTCCTCCTCCAAGAAGAAGACCCAAGACGAGGTAGCTGCATTGAAACGTGAGAAGGATCGTCTGGTGCAGCAGTTGAAACAGCAGGTATGATTAAATGAACAGTGGGAACCAAGTTACAAAAGGGCCCTCTAGAGCTATGTCTGCATTTCACTGCAGAATATTTCTTTCCTTCCCTTCTCCCTTCCTTCCTTCCTTCTTTCCTTCCTTCCTTCCTTCCTTCTTTCTTTCCTTCCTTCTCCCTCTTTCCTCTCCTTTGCTTATGGTTTAAAGTGCCATGTATTGTTTTAAATAGTTCATTTGTAATTACATTACATTTCTAATTACATATGCCAAGTTGGCCTTTGTAAGTAAATGAGCTCATCTTTATTACAGATCTCTTTTCTCTGGATCTCATGTGTCCCCAGGTACCTACTTCAGTATATTTTGTGCTACTGCTGGATTAAGAAAAGAAAAAAAAGGTGATGCCTCATCTGTTTACTGTAGAACAGAGACTCTTAACCTGGGATTCATGAACTTCTTTTCAAAAATATTTTGAACTATATTCCAATATAATTGACTTCCTTTGTAAGCCTGTGTATTTTATTTTGTAAATTTTAAAACATTATTCTGAAAAGTAGTCCAAAGGCATCACTTGACTGTCAGAAAAGGTCCAAGACACAAAAAAGATTAGGATTCACATCCAGCAACTTCAGGCATGAAGAGGACTTTATTATAAAAGGATTTGTGGATTAAGTAGATCCTGGAATGGTACAGGATTGGACAGTATTTAGCCCAACTTTAACATCATCCCTTCCAAAATTTTGGGCCCAGTGTTTGTCTAAAACCTTCTACCTGCAAACATCAAAGAGCCAAAAGATAACTCTTTTTAAAGGACAGAAGCAGACCTGAGATCTTTGGCCATTCTCCTACCACCACTTTGTACTCTGTACTCTTCTCTATCATTTTCCTTTACCATCTTCTAATTGCATTACTTTTTTTCTTGTTGGCTGTGTCATTCCACTTGAAGCAATTCGACAGAGCCAGAAAGCTTTTTCCAGAGGAGTTTTTTCTTCTTCCATTGTGGGTGGGGGGTACCAGTGATCAAATAGTTGTGTTTTTCAGTTTAATATTTAACATTAAATAAATATGGAATATTTGCATTATAAATTTTATTTGCATTATAATTTGCATTATAAATTTATTTTTCTATTTTGCAGATCAATGTTAAATGTGCTTAAAAGTTTACTTCATAATTTTATAACTTATGCCCAAAAGAGTCCCCAAAGATGTCCGTTTTCCACAAAATGACATATACAACACATAGGATTCATTTAAGTACATGGAAAATTTCAATATCATAAGATTGTCTGTAGCAAGAAGTAGAATTATCTGATTTTAGGATAATTGTGAAATAAACATCAGGCCTATTTCTTTTGCCATGTATTTCCATTAGCTTTTTTTTTCTTCCCATTAGCTTTTAGGGGGCAGTTTAAACTGTCATTAAAAAAGTACGTTATAAGAATGTTGCATATGCTTCCTGTTTTTATCTATTTTGCTTCCCTATTTTTCTTTGCTAAAAAGGAAGATTCTCATTTGTGAGGGGAGGCAATATCAAGTAACATAAAGTGACTGGGGTACAAAGAACAAAAGACATAATAAAGCAAAAAAAAAGATGACTAGAAAAGGAAGTTGCTCTCATGAAATAAGAGCAAGGCATAACAGATGAACTACCCTTGTATGTAATGTCAAACCACCAGTCAACAAGCATTTATTAATCACCTACTGTGTACTAGACATTGTGCCGAAGAAATACCAACGACAGTCCCTGAGGGAAAGTACTGCCATTAAGGAAGATCAAGAAAGGTTTCTTGTAGAAGATGGGATTTTAGCAAGACAGGGTAGAGATGAAGAAGTAGAACATTCTAGGCATGAGGAACAGCCAATGAAAATACCCAAGGTTGGGAGGTGGAGTATCTTATATAAAGAGCTGCAAGGAGGTCCCTGTCAAAATATTGTGGAGTACATGGGGGTTAGTAAATTGTAACAAAACTGGAAAGGTAGGATTGGGCCATTTAAGTGACAAACAGGATATTTAATATTTGGTACTGGTGGTGGTAAGAAGACAAGAGAATTTATTGATTGGGACTGGTGTACAATGATCAGCTCTGTGGTTTAGGAAGATCACTTTGACAGGTGATTGGAGGGTGGACCAGGATGGAGAGAGACCTGAAGCAGAGAGACTTAATATCAGGCTATTAGGGTAGTCTAGGCATGAAAAGATGAGGCCCTGCATCTAAGAGGCGACAGTATCAGAGGAGTGAAAAGCGATGTCTTAGATGTGTGATGAAAGTAAAACCAATGGGAATTGAAAACAGATTGGATATGGGGAGTGAGAGGGTAAAGAGTCAAGGATGACTGATAGGTCGAGAACCTGAGTTAGTGGAAGGTGGTGTCCTTGAGAGTAATAGAGAAGTTTGAAAGAAGGAAGGATTTCTAGAGGAACTTATGTAGTTGGACAGGAAACAAATCAATTTACCCACAAAATTCTAAATTTAATTATATGGTAATTGTCAATGAATTCCAAATTCATATATACCTACTATATGGAAACATCCCAAAAATCCTCCAATATTGTCCATTTAAGGATGAAGATGGAGCATTTCTGAGGAAAACTGTAATGATTCCTCCAGATTGTGCTTTTTTTCTCTCTCTTGTGCATGGTTTCACAATCCTACCCACTCACAATACATCTGGGTTTATATGAGAGCAAAGGAAAGTGAGTTCTGCCAAAGACATTTTGGTTCTTTAATTTCTCTAAGAGCATGTATTTAAAGCTTGGATGAGGGAGAGGCCTTTTGGAAAGAGGATATGGCATCAATGTTGTTTTAATTTAAAGCTTCTAGACTTGAATTGCAAGAATGTGCCTCAATCTAGAGACCATTTTCTTACAGAATCCTAACACAGAATTAACTTGGAGTAGGCTTTCCAGTAAATGGAACAGCTGAATCTCGATTGGTTGTTGGCATTCACGTGGGGCCATTGCCATCATGAGATGGAGGTGGGGAAGGGTTTTAAAAAGTGGGAGTCATTATCTAATGTGGTCCCAATTTACTCCTTCCCCTCCCCCCCACCAGGGTAGTTTGTCTCTCTGACTCATTCATGGCAAAGCAGTCATTGGGGAGGCTTTTTCAGAGAGAGGGAGGGCCAATACAAGAAAACAAAGCTAAAGGTTGTCTAACAAAGTCCAGATGTGCTGTGGTGTGTGCCAGCCAGTATGTTCAGATTATAAGTCATGGCCTGCTGTGCTTGTCAAGCCAGCACCAGCAGTGGAATTAAGTAAAGCTAGAGAGAATTCTTTCTGGCATTAATGTAATCTATTCAGTGACATACTTTTACAAGGTGATCTCTTTCTGTTTATTTTTTCCCTTTTCAAATAAAGATTTTTATAATTTTCATATAGTTATTGCTACAGTTTGAAAGTCTTGTTTTTTAATCAAGTTGCAAAAAAAAAATTTTTTTTTGTTAAAAGGTGGGTTAAAGTTTCTTAGTTAAAATTTCAGAGACTACAGAGCTCAATGCTAAAAAGGTTCCCTTTTATTTCATTTTACTTTTAAAAATGTTTTGAAATTGGCTTTGGATTTAACATCAGTTATTTGTGGTTATATCCTGACTCCTGCCTGGTGAGCCTTCCATTCCAACAAAGAGTCAGAGGATCTGGGTTCTGTGTGCTGTCCCTGTCATTTAATATCTCTGTGACTTCGGGCAAGTGACTTATCCTCATTGGGACATAGTTTGCTTGAATGTAAAAATGAAGCGTTAGGCTAGATGACCTCTAAGGTGCCTTTCTGCTCTAAAATCTGGGATTTTTATAAGAAAAAGGTCAAATGACCAAAAAGATGGAAGACTAAGTGACCTTTTCTGTGATTCTCATGACCTCTCAAAATGCTGTAAAACTAATAAACAAGAGGTAAAATAATTGTAGCTTTTCCCACAGACTTAGATATCAAGAACCCTTCAGAAATAACAGCCTGATGAATTAACAGCAGAGAAGGCCAATCCTCATCATGCCTACCCAGCACCCTCTTCACCTCTGGCCCCTAGATTCTGGCAAGGCTGCACAACAAGGACCCATGGGGTTGTGCTATTTAGCACAATTATATTTAGCAATTCTCTCCCTGCTGATACAGTCTCTGCCAGCACACACTGGCCCTGCCCTCACGACACTGTTCTGTGATAGTAAACAATAAAACTCAATTCCTTGCCCCACCCCTCCTCCTGCACCTGGTTTAGAGGAAGTAAAGGTATAGGAAAGCGGAAGTATTCTCTGGGGCAGCAGCTGCACTGCTCAGTCAGAGAATTTAAGATGGAGTGTATTGGGGCAGGGCATCAGTGTGTGTGTGTGTGTGTGTGTGTGTGTGTGTGTGTGTGTGTATGAGTGTATGGGCAGAAGAGAGGATGTGAGGGTAGTAGGGCTCCACCAGGACTGAAGGACTAGGGTCTGTCATCCAGTGGGGCCTAGTACTATCACTGGAGACAGGGACCATGGCTGACAAAAAGTGAATCCCCACTGTGAGAGGAGGCTGAGACAGTTTTGAGATCCAGCCCTTGGAGGACTCCACCATCAAATGGGGAGGAGTCAGAAAGTGAGCAATAGGAGATTGAAAGGAAAAAAATGACTGAAATTTCTAAGACCTCGGGAAGAAAAAAAAGTAAGTTTTCATTTATTTTTTTTAATTTTTAGGCAGTTAGGGTTAGTAAGTGTCAAGTGTTTGGTCTGAGGCCAGATTTGAACTCAGGTCCTCCTGACTTCAAGGCCAGTATTCTATCCACTGTGCCACCTAGCTTCCCCCCCAAAAAAATAAGTTAAAAACCTTGGGTACAAGTAGATAAATAACAGGGAAGACATTAATAAGAGAAGGGAAGGTGCCATTGACATTTTAATAAGTCCAAACATCTCTGTATAAATATTGCAAGAAAAATGGAAATGAAGCAATACCTAAGGATGTAGAAGATCCTGTGCATTTCCAAAAGAGCATGGTATCTAAGCAGGATATTTCCATTTGGTTCAAGAGAGAAACAAGAATTGTGAGAGTGGAATTTATGAC